CTGATATGGATCTGGAAAGAAGATGAATTGAGAGTTGATGGCCATTTTGCCTCTTGAGTGCGAACGGAGCTGGACCGGCGGGTCCCGCCACTCTGCTGCAAGGGTTCGAGCCCAAGCTGACCCGGAGACTTGTGGTCTGTAACTGTAAATTACTAAACAAATAAATGACTAGAACCGAGCGAGTGTCGATAATGGTTATCGGTATCACTTTTGAGATGGGCCCATGGCCAACTTGTTGGGCCAAAATGAGCCTGGCTTGGTTGGGGGGACCTGCCTGGGTCAAACTCAGGCCAGGATTGGTCTATATAATGGGCCAGTCTTGGACTAGTTTTTTTCAATCGAAACCGGTCCAAATACGGTTCAGTTTAAAATTTTTCATAAAATTATTTAAATATTTTTATTGAGTTATATTCTTTCATGTTAATTCATTAATAATATTTTTATTTACTTATTGTTATTCATAATATTTTAATTATTAACACATTCTGATTTTCTTCAATTTTGTGCTACCAAAATAAGGTTCTAATTACATCTACACTATAAGGTTTAAGAGTTTTCTACATATAATTATAGTTTCAGAACCTTCAACCCAAGCACAGATGTAAGAATGAAATGCTTAATATACTAGTGATTAATGTTTAACTCAGGTTGCTAATGGACTCGACTAAATCAACACAGGTTGATCGAATCAATTCAATGACAGAGTGGAGTGGAATGAATATTGTTAAATCTCATTTTTCTCTTATTTGGTACAAATAATATCAACGTAGAAAGAAAAATAAAATAGTTAAGTCTAACAACTCTCCAACGAACATAAATGAAAGTTAACCACGGGAGTTTAAAAGTTTTGTTTTTAGGGCACGTCTGGCCTAAAAACCAGAACATGTCAATACCATTTTTTTTTTCTAGCATGCTATTTGCATTGGATGTTGACTGTTATTAATGGTACTAGTAGTAACTGTTAGGGAATTGTTAATAACATATCTGTTTCCCCTAAAACTCTCTTGTGGCATGCATATGTAAAATCTGGATACGAACTCTCTTGTAGCATGCACATGTAAAATCTGGATATGAACGTGTCATTTATTTTGCTAAAAATAAGAAAGAAATATTTTTCCAAGAGGTGTCATTATCACGGTCGACGATTTTAAATTTTTATAATTTATGGTGTAAATAATATCTATTAACTGTTATTCAACAGCTACACTACATCAAACATGAAGTAATTAGATAAAGAGAGCTTTAATTCAAATCTTATTGGATACTGACTATTATTACTGTTACTAGCAGTAGCTGTTGTGTCATACTTGTTTAATCAAAAGGAACTTGGGATAGATAAACAACTAATCTCAAAGTTCAACCACAGGAGAGAAGAAGCATGAAAGTCTCAACCGGTGGAAGGGTCAGGATTGGTGGAGCCTGTTTCGGTTTTGGGTTGAGGTCCTTGAGGATGAGACGGATTAGATGCATCATCTGAGGAGGCCTTGGCCTTGGCGATGTTGTGGGCGCTAGAGAAGAGATCAACTGGTTCAGAATCCGCAATCTTACCTCCTTCCAATGGGGTGCCGTGCTTGTATCTTACCCTTAAGCTTTCATCTTCTGATAACTTCGCCTGTGCTGTTGCGTACTTAATGTCATCCTTGCTCTTTGCCATGGTTTCCTCATAATCTTCATCCGCTGTATCCCCGGCAGGCCTCTTCTTAATGCTCCAAACAGAATTACGTGGCATTTTCCGAATACCAACAATACCATGTCTTGACAGGTGTTGCTTCATCACGCCACGTAACCTTCTCAAGAATTTTTTATTACTTTCAAATAATATTAAATCATACCCTTCAATAATAACATACAAATAATTTATTTTTATAACTTTTATTTATGAAAATATATTTTATAATCTGAACTCTATTAATTTATAAAACACTAACTATTTAATGGAGAGATAACATTAATACTAAAAGCTTTCTCCTATTAAACAGTTGCTGTTTTACAATTTAAAACAGTTCAAACTATAAAATAATATATATTTTTATTTAATCTCTACTTATTATTGAATAAATAGATATATATATAATATTACATATTTTATTTTATTTTTTATTAAAGCAGGTGGTTCGGAGGAAGAGAGTGAGAAGGAGAATCTAACTCTTGCCATAGTGAAGAAAACTTACATTAAACTGTTGGACCACTAGACCAGGCCTTTAACAATATTACATATTTTAATTTTAAAAAAAAAAAAAATCTCACACATTGTCAGCCCAATCGTTTTCCAATCAACTTCGGCGTGTTTCAGGTTAAAAGAAATGAGAAAGGAGAGGAATATAATTCCATCCAATTAATGAAGACCAGAAAGGAAATTAGAAGAGATTTATGGAATGTAAAGCACACAAATCCTTCATTTAATCCTTGAATCAAAATACGGGAACAGTGAGAAATTATTACTGAAGTGAAGCATGTAAACTGACCGATATAACCAATTTTCAGAGAGTACATGATTTTACTATATGCTAAGCCAAATGGATGTCTCTGCTAATTGGTTAAGCAGCAGTCCATAATTGCTTCTCTTTTTTTATCCTGATTTCAGTAGCAAAAGTTGCACACCTCTAAAATATATTTATAATCTCAACTAGGTATAATAATGCCAGTGTACCTGCATGTTTAACCAAACTGGAAATATCATTGAATGTCAACACAAAAGGAGCATAAAATAGAATGTTCTATTATCCTAAAATAGGAAAGCTGTATGGTGTTCAAAATACAAGAGGCAACAATAAGCAGCATAAATCATAAAATAAGAATCTTAGGAAACTTACACCAGCAATCATGGAAAAACCTTACAAGAAGGTCTCTATGTTAACTTCCAGGAAGGAGCATGGATCAGGGATGTCAAAATTGTTCAAGACCTGAACTCCACAGCAAGGATACAATTATAAGTACTCTTGACAAAAAATAAAGGTAAAAACGGATTCTCTATCTTTTTCATTAGGGGAAAGGAGGAAAACATTTAGAAGTGAACAGAAGTATAATCTTTGTTAATAATGACAGGTGAAAAACAATCCATCAAAACTTCAATGCTCCAAATTCAAAATTTGAAATATCTTGTCACCAGATTCTAAAATAGAAAGAAATTCCATATTTTTTATTCTCTATGCTGTCCAGTACAGTGGTATTATGCTGTTGCATTAGCAGGTATCAGGGAACAAAAGGATGACAAATTAAACATCAGGATTACAAAATCAATAATCTTAAAAACTAAAAATATCTCCTATAAAAAAATTTTTAAAAAAAATCTTTCAGAAAATTTTGGAAAAGAATGATACCTCTGGATGCACAATGCCAAAAGTGCCAATGCGTCTTCCTTTGTAAACAATGCTAGCTTGTCTACCCGGTAGAAATTCAGGCTCCTTCAGCAAATTATCATAATCATAAGTACATGGTAACCTAACACTAGATGCAGCTTATGTATATCATAAGTTGAGTAAAAATAACACCCTTTTTTCCCTTTCAAAGAATTTTTTTTTTTAAAGGAAAAAAGAAAAAAAGAAAAAAGAAGAACTAAAAATGGCACCCTACCTCTGAAAGCTGTATGAAATATCCTGTATTATCACCAACAGGAACAAAAGGAGACCCAATAACTTCCATAATTCTATCAACGAGGCTATGAATCAGCTGTAGAGAAAAAGTTAAACAAAACTTCCTTTCATTAGAGACTGCTTGAACTTAGAATTATATAGTTTTTGTGCTAACATACTATAATCTCCCTTCCATCCCAGTCTTATAATCCTAATTTCCTAAAAGCTAAGCAACCAACCTAAAGGCAATTGGCAATAAGTGGATAGGGCCAACTTGAATGGAAGACCACACAAAACCCAAATCTTAATCAACATGGGATTATACCATTAATTATCCCTCCACCCCAATTTGCATTTTCTCATGATTCTATAATTTATCAAAAAACCAAAGTCAGGCAGATGGTGGATTATATTTCAAAGGACTGAATCAAACATTTCAACTTGAAGTTTCTTTATACACACTGAAAGCACAAATGATAATTACTAATATTGTCACCAGAGATATGCAAAGGCTATGTGAGACAAATATAATATTGGCAATGAATAGGTATTACTTCATTATAGTTGTAAAACACAAAAGATTAGTATCCACATGTCCATCAGAACATGTTTAGGAGCACAAGTTTGCTAAAATAGTTAATTGAGTCACAATACTTAAAATAGTTTACACTTTACAATGACTTGACAGGCAACATTCATAAAAAGGAAAATTCATTCCATAACACATCAGATATGTGGCATCAGAAAATCTAAGATGGAGAACAAGTAAACAAGGCATCCAATTGTAAGAGTGAAATTAAACATCTTATCATGTTTTTGGTCGAAAAACAACTCACACATTAAACAGTTAATTTATTGAATATTCTAATTATTTTAGCAATGTTATCTTGCTGTATCTATATCATATCTAACACCCATATCTTCTAAACATGTCTATGCTTCATAGGCTGACTTATATGCCATCAATATGTTCACCACAAAACTTCATTGAACCCAGCAACATAATATGAAAGAACTGAAAATGTTAAAATCATATTATGTCAGATAATTAAATGACATGCCCGCCCTTAGTGTCACAATAGTTGAAGCATGGGAAGAATGTACCTCAAAACCTGAGTTAGCACCACAATACAATGCACCAAGTAGGCGACGGTTCGAAGCACCAACATCTTTGTTTTCATCCAAAAGTACCACATCACCCACTTCAAAAATCTGGAAGCAACTAATAAAATAAGAAAAAGCCGCAACGATTGGGTACTAAGAATGAAGGAGAAATTGCATGGACATACTAAATGAATAAAGAAAATCTACAGTCTAGGTACAATAAATTACATAATGGGAGTATTAGATTATGATTGGGAAGCATTTAGACCCATGTTAGTTACTAACATAAACACTACTAGTCACAATATAATAATCATATAATGAAAATTTCAATTGCAATTGTACTCCACTTCCCCGAATATGACATAAAAATACAATCTTGAGGAATGAGGAATCAGAACCACCACATTTTGTCTAAGTGAATCAAGGAGGGTTAATGGAAAAGAGGCATATAGAATCAATAGATTAAAGTAACTTAAATCCGTATATGGTTAACCAATCCCCTACATAACTAAGCAATCTTGCAAAGTTACAATTTACAGCTATGTCAAAACTAAAGCTTTACCTTTAAGGGTTTTGGATGGTCTTTATTATGTCCAACTGTCTTCAACATACCAGGCATTAGACTTGTACGAACAACCTGTGCCAATAGTAGTAATAAATTATCTTAATGAAAATGTTTGATTGAATGCTGGTGAAAGCTTTCAAGCATAACCAAATAAATGACATATAACAAAAGTTGCACAACCCTAAAAATATTATCATTATTGAGTGCATTCAACATATTTATAAAGCATACAAATATAAAAATTCTAAAGGGAGTAAACAGCATACCTATAAAGACAAAAATCATATTCCATAATTCACAAACTCAATATTAGCAAAGATAACAAGTGATGAGTAAAATATAACATGGACATTAAATCACCTAAACATAAAATGTTAGCATGAAAACATGATAGACTGCTGCAATTTCATCAATACTACAGTTCAGCACACATTCTTGTAGCACACAAACCTCAAAATCTGAGGAACGGGGGTTCCCAATAATCACTGCAGTTGATTTGTCATCCTTTCTGTTCAACATCTCAAAATTCTCTCTCTTGGAACACAAAATCCATGTCAATACCTCAGTAAACCCATTCATTGCTATCTGAAAGAAAATTTGAACAGGGACTTATCAGAAACAGAATGAAGAAAAATCACAAGGAAAAAAAGAAGCAGCAAGAATCTGAAAAAAGTAAACAAATATGACAAGCACATTTCACAGTCACAAGCATAAAGAGACTTGCTTATGTGAAAGTACATGTACCTCGTGTCTGATAAGATCACTAAGCTGGTTTAAAGGAAGTGGCTTCAAAGTTGAAGGCTTTCTCTTTGGAATATCGTTGTACCCAAAAGCAATTGCAACATCCTAAAAGAGAAAAAAAAAAAAAGGCCTTATCAATTGTCATTAGAAATACACATGATAAGCAATGAAAAGGTTGATGGTGACTATCAGTACCTCCATAACATCACATGGATGAAGAACATCACTTCTGGTTGGTGGTACTGACACATTGATATTGCAATTTTCACCTGATCCAGACTCCTTGGCAATGTTGGCGTGCAACTGCATGCGGTTTAACAGACTAGTTACCTGAATGGTTAAAATGAGAAGACATTAGTCATTGTTATAAGCAGTAGCACAATGAAAAAATGGCTAGATAATTTAAAGCCATGAATTGATATTGAGTGCAAGCATAGAAATCTAAATCACAGACAAAGATCATAAACATTGGCAGCAATAAAGCACCTCCTGATGTCATTTAAACAAAAGATATGCATAACTAAACATAATCATCTCACTCCAATGAAATGCACTTAAAAAGTAGGGGGAAAAGCTGTTGTGTCTATCTCCTGTTCTTGAAAGTATCCAGGGGTACTTCTTCACCACTTCATTTCAAATCAGTTTGAATAACAACTGATCAATTTTGTCATTATTATCTAACTAAAAAGAGAAAAAAATCAGAAATCATAACCGAACCATCAATGAATTTAAATAAAAACTGTAAACAGTCTACAAGAATAACAAATCATTTTGCAGGACCATAATTGCCCCTTGGGCAAGGACTGATTTTTTCCAGATAAATTGTCTAGCAATAACATAGAAATAAATGAAAGAAATAACAGGTGAAATAAATACCTCTTCTGCCTTTAATGAGACTCCAACTGAATCAGTGATATAGGATAGAGGAACTTCCATATTGAATACAGATAAATCAGGATACAAATATGACTTTTCATCAAAGTATTTCACTTCAACTGGTTCCACTTCAAACTTTCTTTGACAATATGATGAAAAAGTTGTTACCTATGAGAAGAAAGTTAAATCTTACCATCAAATAAAGAAGGTGCTAACAAAGAGTACAAACAAATGTAATCAAAAATAAAACTATAGAAATCTTTACCATTGTATTTAAAACAATTTTTGCCTTGGTCAAATCAGTGGCCGTACATTCAATAAAGACATTTTTTGTCTTTAAGGTGATTGCTGAATGTGCACTATTAATAATTGGAGGTAAAGATACAACAGTTCTGCAGAAAGGAACTCAAATTATTTCCCCATAAGTGCTTCCAAGGCATGAAAGAGAAATGAAGAGAAGGAAAAATAAAGCAATTAAAACATAAAAGAAAAACACTAAACAGAAACCTAATCTCGTAACTTAGTACTAAAATTATTAATATGCATTTATGATAAAATATAAAAAAGCAGCAGCATGAGCTCAACATCTTTAAATGCAACAAAAAATTATTTACATCAGTAAACATTGTGAAGTATGTATTGGTGAACAGATAAATACATTTCAACATCCCATAATCACTTGTTCAATAACAAGAAACTTCATACCTCTTGCTGTCATATATGACAGGAAACACTGGTGAGTTCTCGATGATGTGCAAAAATTTCTTCAGTTTCAAATCTGACTGTTATACAGACCACATATCAATATAAAACCAGAACTTGCGGTAAAATAAAATTGTAAAAATTTAATAATAAAAGGGTTAGCCTTTGAAAGGATGCAATGTACAGAACTACCAACATAATGATTGTCATTGAAACAGCTTGAGAATTTCAAGGATGTACAAATAATCACAAAAAGGGAAAAGAAAGTTTGATAAGGATTACCTTGTAGAACTCCATCAGCTCATCAGCTCTGAAGCTTTTCACCTAATTTCAAATTAAAGAGAAATAGTAATACCATCACATCAATTTTAGTCCAGAAGCTACAGCAGTACATCAATGAATAAAGCACACGAGTCATATAAAAGAGAAATGGAATAGTTGGGAATCAATAGAAGAAAGAATCTATGTTATGGTAAAACAATATCTTACCACTAAGGCCCCAAAACTGCAAGAGGAGCTAGAGCTAGGCCTAGAAGCTAAACTTGAAAAGCAAGTACTCAACTCAGCTATTTAAATTTATTTACAAGTTATGGGTACCTCCATGTTCACGGACAAAATTTAACTTGGCTCTAAGGTCATTCCTGTTATTTGGTTAATCTAGATCATAGATAGCAGTAGGGACCATCTCCTCTCTTGAAGTAAAGATCTCAAACAAAAGGAAAAACATGTCATATTTAAATGGAAATTTGAACTCCCACCTGTACATGTCATTCAAATTAAACAAATATGATAACAAAATAAGAATACATCATACAAAAATATACCTGTTTAAGAGGCACAAAATTTATTTCTGAAGGTGGTAATGCCTGAAAGAAAGGAAAAGATTATATTAAAAGCTATGACTAAGATCTACAAGAAATACAGAATGGCATTGGAAGACATAAAAAATAGCCCATTGAACCCTCCAAAGTACTCATTAAATCAACATGAAACACTCAAGTGGTCTCTCATTTCAGGTAACAAATATAGGCTACAATACCATATCAACTCCCAGACCAGAAAATGAAAAGCGATCATAAAGTGAAACATAATGACACTTGAAAATAATTGATTTTAAAATATAGTATTAGTTTTGACATGGGATGCAGCACCAGTCCAGAAAACAACTAAAAAAGGGAAGATTTTCTTTCCTGCAAATTCTGCTCTTAGACCAAATGAAATGACACATTCAAAATTTCAAACTCAGGATCAAGCAGACTGTTTTATTAAAACAATAGTTAAACAATGAATTAAAATTCTAGAGCAAATTTTTTCAGTTTGCTTCATGACCAACCTTGAAATAATGCATGTGAAAAATTTACTGAACAGATTCCATGAGTAAATTGAGTACTAGAGTAGCCCACCTCATATGTGAATGGTCCTTCTAATGTGTCCAAATCATGAGTCCCAATTGCTACCAGGGTTCTACGTCTGAAAGCAGTACATATAAGCATTAAAACATGGAAAGGTAACAACTTTGAAAAGCCTTCTATAAATAAATAAACAACCAAATTCAATGTTATTGAATTGTAAAGCAATTAAAGTAAATGCAACCTGATTACATGAACAAGGCAGAAAATGAAAATAAGTAAAGTTTCAAAAGCAAAATTTGTATCATCCAGACTTAACAGATGCTTCTCCAATATTAAACAAATACAATCTCCTATTTGATTGCCTTAGATATCAATCTGAAAAAAGAAAAAAGACATGGAAAAAATCATGCCAAGCAGAGTTGGCAAAATATATCCACCAACCATCCAGGTCTTAGTGTAATTGACATAACATATATTGCAGATAAAACAGCTATCCATTATTCAAATAAATAGAAACCTAAAACTGATGTCAAAATTCTGGAAATATTCTTGAACTTTTATGGATCATGCACATTGATTTCACAGGTGCAAAACAACAGGACAACAGAGGTTCAAAAGCAAATGTAGGCTGATAATTAATATGAAAATCATAAAACATGCCTGCAGATATTTTGGTGAAGCTTATCCTGGAGATCAATGAAGCTATTATAACTCGCTTCATCAAAAGTTATGCCCCTCAAAACAGCACAAACAACAAAGGGTCGTATCAGAGAAGTCTGCAAACCAGAAAAAGGGTGTCGTAATTCAGGGAATAAACAAAGCATTGAAATACCCACAATTTGTTTGTTACAATCCCAAACATACCTCCTCTTTAACATGCATTTTAAGCATTGAATTCCTACTAATGTTAGCAACTTTGAACTGGGGTATCTGCTCCAGCCCATTGAAAATGCGAAGAGCTAGTGCAAGCCCTTCCAGACAGAGCAAATCATATCTGTCAAAATACAAAATAAAGCCACCATCACCACTCTTTCTTTAGACTGACAATACAAACAGAGTCCCAAGCTAACAAAAGACAAGTCCAAACACGCCCTTCGACCCCAATCAAGTAATTTTCAAGCAAAATCCACTAAATCTACGATTCACATAAAAATGAGAACCTGTTAGCAGGAACCTCAATCTTGTAGATGACTTCTTCATCATCATCGACTTCCTCTTCCAAGTGCTTCTCTTTCCTAATTATGGCCTTCTCCGTTGTCTGATTCACAAAACTCCATGGATTTGTTAAATATCCCTCCTCCCACTCACTCATTCAAAAGAAGAAACGGAGAAAACAAACAAGGAAACAAACAGTGCGTATAGAAAATCACTCACCACATCATCGAGCTCAATTCCGAATCTGAAACACAGATCCTCGAACTCTTCTTGTGCTGCAAAACAGATAAATCGTTAATGAAGACGAAACTAACAAGCAAACAAGGAGGGTTAAGGGGTAAGAAGCTTACTGTAGGTCTTGCCCAAGGCAGCGAAGAGACGATCTCTCCCTACGCTAATAGTTGGCATGGCGATGGCGGCTTCTTCCTCACAGCACAGTACATTAAAGAGGGACGTCCGCGAGAATTTATATTACCTAATCTGAACTTCGTTTTGCTTTGGAAAATTTTTTTTTATTGTACGATCCACTATATTTCTCTACTTTATTTAACAAATGGGTAATTTATA